TTCAGGTGCCCCAAGATTTTAAGTTACCTCTGTACCCAGCGTGAGGCTCAGACTCACAACCCCAAGATTAAGCGTCGCATGCTCCACTGGCTGAGCCAGCCAAGTGCCTCTAAGTCTTTTTTTTTTGCCCCTAAGTCTTTAAATAAGACTCCATTTTTCTGTTCAAGGAGCTGTGATTTTTGCAAAGTAGCCCTTCAGTTTAAGAAATTTGGGACATTATAATCCTTTGTTACAGAAAATGATTTTAATCATTTCTCTTGAAATATGCCTCTTATTAGAATTCTCATCTAAAATCTCATCTATTCTTTTGGATAGAATTCTTCAAATTGAACATGTGGGCCTGTGGTTGTTAGGCTTCTCCCCCTGAATACTAATTTTTGAACATATTGATCGATTATTTAAATATTTGGTTATTAGAGCCAAGACACAAAAATTAATGCATTTTGAAAGGTGTTTTTGTTTCCATCTGTTTCTTTGCTATACATTGATTATCCACTCTTTTTAAAAACTTCAAATATAAGATCTATCTTCAAATTATTGAATATTTCATCCATCCAAGTATGTGAACATTCTCCTGTGAATAAATTTTATAGACCTTTATATACATGGAGCTTTGTAGCTTGAAATGTTTTTAAGGAGAAACTATTTGAATGATAAACAATATATCTAGTGCCCCTTGGGTTTTTTGTTTTTTTAATTTCTCAAATACACAATTATTTGGGGGTGGTCACTCAGATGGAAAAATACTGGCATATGTGTTGAACATTTTATTTTACTATAGTTTTTAAGAATTTTTGCCAACAACCTGCTTTCTTAGGGCCTATGCAACCCCCCCTTTCCCAGCTGGACATCCACTTTTCCTATTTTTTTTTCCCCAATTTTTTTTTTTTTTTTATGCAGGGGAGGGAGGCAGCTCCCAACCATAAAAGCTTCATTCTTTAATATGGGGGTTTGGGGATGAAGGTATTTTGTGAAGACAAGTCCACATAAAATGTGTAATGGTATTCCACGAGGAGGATGTCTCTTTGTGCTCTTAACTCATTTTTTAATTTTACAGTAAAACATTACTTCTTAGGAAATGTTTAAACCAGTGAGAAAAAGCTGATGCAAATAATTAAACCACTCATGTTTTTTAAATTTTAAATTGTATATCGGCTTTTGATTTCAGTGTCTGGTGTGAATTAAGTTCTTACTACAACTGCAGTGCATACCAACCTTCCCTACGACACCATTTCCTGGAATGTGAAGCCCTCGTGACATTAGCTCTCCACACGCAGCAAGTTTTGTGTATGTGCATTTCTTTTTTGTGCACTCTGTTAGGCTGGGTGTGACTAAAATCAGCTTAATTTTTGTATTAGATTATTTCACTAACTGCTCTAGTCAAAATGATCAAATCTTTATACAATAGAAAATAATTTAAATTTTTATTTTTCTACTGACATTTCTAATTCTGGTATAAATGTTTATCAATAAAGAATTAATTTCAATTCTGTGAACTGAAATGGTTATTTCTTTTTTACAGTGACCAGTGAATTTAATCTTTTGCAATCAAGTCTGACTTAGATTTTTGGATTTTTACATAACTTAGTACTTAACATATGTTTACCTGTATTTCTTTTATGCTCAATTTCTTACTAATTTATAGTAAAATCCTTGTTCAAAGATGTGATTAAACTGTATGCACATGTGAACTTGAGTCCTATTAGCTGCACTTTCCAGGCTGTATCTTGCCATCAAGAAGCGTTTTGTCTGATTCCACACTGGGATGGCTGAGAGCTGATACAGTGTATGAAAACAAGTTATTTCAATAGTAGGTTCACATGGAGAGTGGCTCTGACGTCAGTTTAGCACTCTCAGGGACGTCCTGGAAGTCTTTCTCTGCTCTGCCGTTTTCAGCGAATTGTCCAATTTGGGTGTCTTATGTCCTAGTCCAAGATAGACAACCCCTACAGTTCCAGGCGTCATAGACATACAATGTCTGGTAGGAGACTGCCCATTCTTTCTCTTTATTTTTTATTGAGGTATAATATACAGTAAAGTGCACACATCTTAAATGTATAGCTTGGTGAATTTTTACATATTCATACATTTATGTGAATACAACTCGCAACAAAGGTACAGAGCAATTTCTAGGACCCCAGGAGAACCCTACATGCGGAGTTGGGCCAGAAGCCCCCAAGATTGTATACATATCCAGGACCCAAGGCAGGAGGAACTTTTCTTCAATTTCCAAAAGGTGATAACCCCAGACCGGACAATGGAAAGAGATTGTGTAGGATGAGGGGCTAAAGGTGCTGAGTATGGTAAAGTGGACCCCATAAACTATTGCTAAGACAACACGGTAATAATGAGCCCAGGAATCATCTAGGGAGTTGAGGGAATTTGTACTCTGGCCAACTGGAGAGCCCTGTCTAAAGGGGCCAACCATTGCTTACTTCCAGCCTATTTCTACTTGGTGGGATTTTGAGCCCAGAATAGCCAGGTTTTCCAGTTTTTCAAGGGAAGTTGCAAATCTAGATTATTTGAAATCTATATTTTTAAGTGCAACTAATTTGAATTCACAAAAAATGCTTTTCAGGTCAAACAACGCATGCCTTTGAGCTGCAGTTGGCCTCTTCATTAAGCTATTTGAAACAATGGAAAATAGTTCCTACCCTGGTTATCCTTAAAGTGGTTAGAAACTTTGTGAATTTGAGCAAATGTATGGAGGGCTAGTGAGCTGTAAAGACGAGACTGGGAGAAATGAGATGATGCTGGAGGAGAAAGTCTGCTGGAGAACCCCAGCGCATCCTTTTCCCCAGGCGTGGACCCCACTGATGGCGCAAAAGGCTACGTCCTGGTTTGTCACTGCAGGTACCACTTACCCTGTCCGAGGGAAAAGGCTGAGCATGTTAACCTTCCAAATATCGGGTCCTAATTTCACATCTATTTTTCTATTCTCCTCCCATAAGGAAGATCTACTGAAGTGGATCATAGACATAAATGCACAAACTAAAACTATAAAACAGGAGTTAAATTTTGTGATCTTGAGTTAGGCAAAGCCTTCTTAGAGAGAAGCCCAGAAGCACCCGGGGCAAGAGAAAAATACATAAATTGGGCTTCATCAAAATGAAAATGTTATGCTTCAAAGGATGCCATCAAGAGAGTGATGGCACACAATAGGAGGAAATATTTTCAAGGCCTATGTTTTATGAGACTGGTATTCAGAATATATAAAGAACTCTTAACAACTCAACCATAAGAAGACAAATAACCTGATTTTAAAATGGGCAGAGGATCTGGATAGACATTCTCCGAAGAACATACACCATGGCCAATAAAGACAAGAAAAGATGCTTAACATCGTTATTGAACAGGGAAGTGCAAATCAAAAATACGATGAAATGCCGCGTCCCATCCACCAGGATGGCTTTAATCAAAGAGACGAGAGTATTGCCAAGGTGTGCAGACACTGAAACCTTCATATATTGCTGCTGAGGATGTAAAATGGCACAGCTGCTTTGGGAAGCAATTTGGCAGTTTTCCTCGAAAGGTAAAGCACAGAATTACTATATGATCAAGAAACTCCGCAGGTATATATCCAAGAGAAATTAACTCTGAAGATGTGGAAGAAGACAATCCCAAAAGACCACATATTGTATAATAACATTTATGCGAAAAGTCCAGAATAGGCAAATCTATAGAGACAGAAAGATTAAGCCTGAGGCTGGGGATTGGGGAGAAATGGGTAAGGAGCTCATTTTTGGGGTGATAGTTGCACAAGTCTGTGAATTTACCAGGACTATTGCGTTGTGTACTCTAAATGGGTACATTTTATGTGAATTATCTTTCAATTAGGCTGTTTTTAGAAGTTTGCTGGCATACTGCCACAGTAATGTCCTTTTAATCACAAATGTGTGTTCATCTCTTTCTTAATTTAGATAACTGTAGGACTGGGTCAGTCAGACCCAGTCTAGTCCAGAGTATCAATGAGGAGCAATTTTCAGCTGGAAAAAAACATAAACCTGAAAAAAGAGGATGTTAATTGTTGATGCTTCCTCCACATTTGTTTCTGATTACTGCCTCCCATAACTGGATTATAACTGAAAACATTTTAGTCTGGTAAAATTGTAAAGATTGTATGCGGCTATACTTCCATATGGATTCACTTGAAGGATTCGTGTGGATGTCTGAATTCTAGAATGCAGTCGATTCCTGTTGACAGTAGTTATGTCTCTAAAGTCACCGTGCACACTCAGTTATCGAACACTGAACCACTATTGGGGGAAATACAGGGTTGGGTTCCTGCGAGTCTCTGCTCACAATACTTTTGTCAACTGATCAATACATAATCTTGTTTTATGTATGTTTCTGTTCAAAGACACCTTTTTTCTTTTTTTTAAAGATTTTATTTATTTATTTGACAGAGAGAGAGAGACAGCGAGAGAGGGAACACAAGCAGGGGCAGTGGGAGAGGGAGAAGCAGGCTTCCCGCCGAGCAGGGAGCCCGATGCGGGGCTCGATCCCAGGACCCTGAGACCATGACCCAAGCCGAAGGCAGTCGCTTAACCAACTGAGCCACCCAGGTGCCTAAAGACACCTTTTTAAATATATCTTTCTTACAATAGTTATGTGCAGTATTCATAATAAAACAGTATTTCAATTACAGCATTTTTGTGTAATGTCCTTCCCAATACTGCGGCTGTATTAACTCTTTCCCTCAGTCATATGCACACAGGCAGTACACGTATATAGTACATGTAGTAAACACACAGGATAACATACGATATTCACATAAACACAGAGTACTGTGAACACATACTGTTATGCCACACAGTAATGCACATAGAGTCCTGAAGAAATTAGAGATTTCATGAAACCGTTAACTAGAATCTTACTGTTGATGGAACGGCAGGATGTGTGATGGTGCAGCACAGTGTGGGTAAACACACTTGGCTGTTCAATAACGATGTCTTGACCTTGGCTTGCCCCACGAAAACCAAGGAAGAGGTGGGTGGAATTTATTCTGAAGAAGAGGAAGAGGGCAGCATGTCCACATTTGGCAGTTCAACCTCAGGAGTTTGCCTCTCAAGACTCGTTGACGGAGTCGGCAACTTTCCCTCCCAAACCGGCTTGAAAAATTGGGTCAGCCTCCTCTGCTTGGCTTTTTGCCTCAAATCTTTAAGCATCTTGGAATAAGGGGCAAATGCCATGGAAGTGAGGCGCTTAAATTTGAGGCTGCGATCGAGCATAGGGTCGCACTCTTCCATGTCATTGAAAATTCTTAACAAAGCAGAATTCCATTCTGATATTTTAGTCACTGTAAGAGGGTCAATTCTTGAAGCTGTAAGCTGGCTTTCATGGTCGTCTTCATCATTGCTGACTCCAATGCCTTGTTTTGCCATCTCATCCAGGTCTTCGTTGGTGGGTTCTACTGCCTTTTCTGCCAGAATTTCTTCCACGTCTTCCTCCTTCATGTCATCAAAGCCTTCCCCACTTATTTGCCGTGCAATGTGCATTATGTTTTTGACACTGTCCTTTATACTTTCTGTAACACCTTCAAAGCCTTCAAAATCTTGCACACAGTCTGGCCAAACATTTTTCCAACAGCTATTGATGGTAGCTTGTTTGATGCTGTCCCAGGCTGTCCCAACATAATCAATAACGTTGCAAAGAGTGACTGACTTCCAATAGTCCAACATGGTAGTCTCCGTGTTGGACTTGAGAGCCTCAAAAGCCTTGCTATAAAGCTCCCTGGTATAGTGTGCCTTGAAAGCTTTTATTATCCCCTGATGCAGGGGTTGGATGAGAGACGTAGTGTTTGGGGGCATGAAAAGAACTTCTACGTTGGGGTGGGCATTTTTGAGTTCTTCACAGTAATGGACTGGGGCATTATCCAAAATTAATAAAACCTTGAAGGCAAGGTTTCTGCCTTGGAGATAGCATTCAACTTCCGGTATGAAGCAGTTATGGAACCAATCAGATGTCATCCACGCTTTTTTGCTCCACCTCCAATGGACTGGCATATGGTTCACGCTTTTCCCTGTCAGTGCTGGTGGATTCTGGGCTCTGTACACCATTAGGGGTTTGCACTTGAAGTCGCCCTTGGCATTGGTACACAAGAGCAAGGTTGCATAGTCTTGGAATGATTTAAAGCCAGGGGCTTTGCAGGCCATTTGCGTTATATAGGTTCTTTTGCCAACGTCCTTGTAAAATAAGCCAGTCTCATCAGCATTGAAAACCTGCTCTTCCACATATCCTTTCTCCTGTATAACACTCAGCAAGTATTTTTTAAACTCTTCTGCAGCCTCCTGATCTGCACAACTTGCCTCACCTGCAAGTTTAACATTGTTCACACCATACCGCTTTTTGAAACGTGCAAGCCAGCCAGCGCTAGCGGAGAAAGGTTTAACATTTTTCTGGCCCTGGGTAACATGACCATAAATTTCTTTGGCTTTCAGCCTCACGACAATGCTGTCCACCACACCTTTTTTATCGGTTGTCATCTCATGAATCCATAAATTTAGCCGCTTTTCCATCTTTTCCATTGCTTCCTCGCGCACTATAGACGTTACTTTAGCACTTTCCGGAGCAGCCTCACGTACAGATCGGCGAATTTCCTTTTCCTTTTTCTTGATGTACCGGATTGTTGATTCATTAACATTGAACTCACGGCCAACAGCACTACAACTCATGCCTGAACGAAGTTTATCTAACACACGTATTTTCTCCATAAGGCACATCACAACCTTCTTGCGCTTAGGAGCACTAGGCAGCACTTCACCACTACGCTTGGGGGTCATTTTAAACAGCGAGATCACCACCAAAAAGCACAAAAATGCAAAAAACATGCCCCTGAATAGACTGCGAAAAGGACAATTATTTACAGCATGACAGATGAAGCAAGAAAGCCCATTGTGTCGGCCTTGTTCAACCTCAGAAAGTACACCGCACCGTTGGTTGCCTCAAGAGTTTCACCCTCTGCGCATGTCCGCGAATAACCCCAGAAAGCACCGCGAATATTGATTTTTGGGGTTACAGTAAGTCTAAACAAGTAAGCGAATTCGAAAATACCAACCTGTGAATAACGAAGGTCAGCTGTAGCCGCATAGACATGTAATTCTGTTTAAGCACATTTATCAAATCAGAGCGACCGGACGGTGCTGAAGACTACAAGTTCCAGCATGCACCGCTCCAGCGGCGGGGCCCATGCTCTGTCAACCACTACAGTACCGTCAGGCGCGAGGCATTGGCTCGGAAATGTCGCGTTTGGACTGCGTAGCACTCTCTGCGCATGCGCACACGTTGCGGGGTGGGGGCCCCGCCCCAGCCGCCCCAGCCGCCCCAGCCGCCCCCGCCGCAGCTCTATGGTCTCTCCGTAGAGCTTTGCCGTTTGGGGCAGCTGCTCAGGTCCTGTGGCTCCGCCCGCTCCGCGCGGCAGCGACATGGAGGAATTTGACTCTGAAGACTTCTCCACCTCGGAGGACGACGAAGACTACGTGCCGTCGGGTGAGCGATTCGGCCGGAGGCGAGAGGAGGCTTGCTCCGCCCCGCGCTTCACGTGAGGCGCGCTTGGCCCGGCGTGCGTGGCCCGGTGGCCCCGGGGGCGCGGGTCTCGAGCGACCCAGCCGGGCAAGCCCCGGTTCCTCGCCCGCCTGCTCCGTCCGCGCGGTCGCCCCGGGCCGAGACGTGTGCGCGGGGGAATGTCGCGCAGCCGACGCCCGCGGCCTGCCTCGGGCCGCCGCCCCCTTTCGGAGCGCGGGAACTCGCAAGTGAACACGGCCCTCCTCTGGGGATGCTGTCGGTGTCGGTCGGTATCCGGACCGACTGCACCTGCGCCCCAGTCTTCTGAAAGGCAGTGTGAGCGTTGGACGTTATCGTCAGACCTTCCGACCCGAGGGACTTGCTGGCTAGCACCACGTCCAAGATAAATCTATCCACTGTATGCCCTCGCATGGTTATTAGAAAGTTCATGTGATGATGCATTTTGTCTCTTTGCGACGTATACTTATTCCTCTTTTTTCAGGTATCTCTCTCTTTGGTGTAAGTTTCTCAAACTAAAGGGGGCCAGAATAAATCTTGTCACTCAAAGCTACCCCTTCCGCTATCGTGCGCCTTCCCCAGGCTCTCCATCTCGTTTCAAGTATCTATCCATACAGTCACTCAGGGGAAAAACAAAACAAAACCCCTAGGAATCATTCTTATTTTCTCTCTTTTGGCTCAAGCAGTTGGTAAGTTCTGTTGTGTCTACGTGGGAAATCGGTTTCTTTTTTTTTTTTTTTAATAATTTTTTTATTGTTAACCACCATACATTAGGTTTCTGACCGCTTCCTTGTCAATCTCCCTGTTACTCAACTGCCATTATTCTTCACTGGGATTAGCCATAGTTTCCCAACTGGTTTCCCTGGTTCCGTTTCCATTCTTGTCCACCAACCTTGATCTTATGGTAATGGCCAGAGTGGTTGTTTGAAAACTAGTTTTCATTTTAATCAAAGCTGTGCATACCCATACTTAAACATAGTCAGGGGCGCCTGGGTGGCTCCGTCCGTTAAGGGTGGGACTCTTGATTTTGGCTCCGGTCGTGATCTCAGGATGGTGAGATTGAGCCAAGGTTGGGCGCCATGCTAGGGGTGGAGCCTGCCTAAGATTCTCTCTGACCCTCCCTCCATCTCTAAAATGAGTAAATAAATCTTTAGAAAAAATGGTCAATTATTTCTAAAAGCCTTGTTTTGAAAACTAACAGTTCCCATCACCCTGCATCCCTGTTCATTCCTCCTCAGGAGAAACTGCTTTCCACTTTTTTAATTTGGTATTTTCGTTTTATGTTGACTTAACCCATGCTCAGTAGGTCTTATTTTAATACCCTCTTAGGTCATCCCGATCATTCCCAACACACAGCCTTCCACCCTCAGGGCCTCCCCAACTCCCCAGCCTGCCATTGTTACCATGTCCAATTTTGGTTAGATCAGTATTCCAAGTTTACTTTTTTGTAATGCACACATTCAGGTCTGAACCATGTGGCGTATACTGTGATTGCTTTTCCTACACTACGTGTTTTGTGTGGAATTAATTATTGCCATTTTGTCGTTGCTTAGTTGTCTATGTCCTTACTATTAATTGGACCCTAAACTCTCAGAATTGTGTAAATTATCTCCCAAGGCAATCAGATTCATGAAAGAGTCGTTTACTTTCATGTTGAAGTCCAGTCTTTGCCTTCTGACCTCCAGTTTGCCTTGGTTTTATCACTTTTAAACCTAGGATCTTTTGTCACCATCACCACTCTGGGTGTTCCATTCCCTTTTCTGTTGGAATCCGTTTCTTGGGTCCTGTGTTATGTTTTTTTCTTGGTGTGCTCCACCAAAATGAGAATAAATTCTCAGCTACTCGAGGACAGATGATGTATAATAGACATTCAAGGTGTCAAAACAGTATTTCTAAAAATAACTATGTGACCCCAGGGCATAATTGATACTTTGTCTGGTATAGAATTCTGTGTTTTGTAATAATAATTCTAGGCTTTATAATGATATGGTAATGGTAATGATAGCTTTCCATCAGAATGTTAAGGGTGTTGTTTTATTACTTGCTAGCTTCCAGTGTTTCTATTAAGAAGTCTGTTTTGCTGATTTCTGTTTATTTATATAAGATCTGTTTGTCTTTGGAAGCTGATAGAATCTTCTCTTTATTCCTGATTTTTCTGATATTTCACAATGATATACCATGGTATAAGTCTGTTCTCATCCATTGTGGTAGGTTTCTGGAACTTTTGGGGAGAGGTAATTTCCTTTTTTCATTTTCTGTTACTTTTCTGGAAACCTCATTATTCAGATGTTGAATCTTACGTTAGATCTTCTGGACTGGCCCTCTAATTTTATCATCCTATTTTCTAACTCTTGACTTTTTTCCACTCAATGGAAAATTCTCAATATCTTCAACTCTTGTATTTTTTTCCTGCTTTGATATTTTTAAATTTGAGTAACTTTTTTTTTCCCTTAAGTAGTCATTTTTTATAGCATCATGTTCTCATTTCATAGTGAAGTATCTTATTGCTCTATGGATATTAATACTAATTTAAATTTTTCAATGTTTAACTTACATACAGTATAATTTATTCTTTTCAGTGTACTGTTCTATCAGTTTTGATAAATGCTTAGAGTTAAGTGACCATCACCAAAATTAACAGTTCCAAGGCCACCCCCCCAAATAAAACATAGACCATGATGTCTGAATAGAAACAGTTTTATTCCTTCTTTTCCAATAGGTATGCCTTTTGTTTCTTTTGCTTGCTTCACTGCTCTTGGTAAGACTTCCACTATGATGTTGAATAGGAGTGATGAGAGTGGACATCCTTGCCTTGTTCCCAATTTTAAGAGGAAATTTTTTTTTAAAGATTTTATTTATTTATTTGAGAGAGAGAATGAGATAGAGAGAGCATGAGAGGGGGGAGGATCCGAGGGAGAAGCAGACTCCCTGCTGAGCAGGGAGTCCGATGCGGGACTCGATCCTGGGATTCCAGGATCATGACCTGAGCTGAAGGCAGTCGCTTAACCAACTGAGCCACTCAGGTGCCCTAAGAGGAAATTATCAGTGTTTCACTATTTAGTATGTTAGCTATGGGTTACAGATGCCTTTTGTGTGTGCATGTTTTAAGTCCTTTACGTTGACTAATACATTACTAGCTCACTCACTACTGAGTATGTGCTATTCTCCCCATTTTGCTGACAAAGAAATTGAGGCACAGAGAATTAAAGCAAGTTGTGCAAAATCATTCAGCTAAAGAGTAGCTGAGCTGGGATTTGAACCCTGGCAGTCTGCGTATATTGCTCCTCACCCATGCATTTTATCAGGTTAAAGAAGTTCCCTTTACTCTTGATTTGCTGAGAGGCAAATTTTGTCAAATGCTTTTCCTCCATCTATTTATAGGATTTTGTATGATTTTTCTTCCTCTTAATATGGTGAATTACAGTGATTGCTTTTTAAATTTTGAACAGCCTTTTATTTTTAGGATAAAGCTCATTTGGTCGTGCTGTATTCTTTTTATACATTGCTGGGGCGCCTGGGTGGCTTAGTCGATTAAGTGTCCAACTCTTGATTTCGGCTCAGGTCATGATCTCAGGGTTGTGAGATCCAGCCCCACATTGGGTTCCACACTCAGCATGGAGTCTGCTTGAGATTCTTTCCGCCTCCCCCTTCTCCCTCCCCCTCTGCTCCTACTGCTTACCTGCTCTCCCCCTCCAAAATAAATAATAAAATCTTTTTATACATTGCTGAATTTTGTTTGCTAGTATTTTGTTGAGAATTTTTGCATCTGTATATGAGGGATGTTGGTCTGTAGTTGTCTTCTAATTGCCTTGTTTTGTTTTAGTATCAGATACTGCTAGCCTCATGACATTAGAAACATTTCTCCAAGATGATTTTTATTCACCCTATATTTTGGTTTTATTAGATCCTTTCTCAGATTTTCAGTGATTCTTAGTTGTTTGGCTCATGTTTAAGCATGGGGGACTAAAAAGGTGATTGGAAGCTCTGAGTCTTTGGATAAGATATGTTCATTTTGTTCTTTGTTATCTACAGGGACGTTATTTTGCTTCTTACTCTTTTTTTGTCAAAGTGACTGCATGGAATTTTATCATTTTGTGCATGTGTATAATATAAAATTTGCTTATCTCTTATCAATGGAACTGAGCATTTTTTACATACATAAGATCCAGAGCCATATTTTTCTCCTTGTCTGAACTGTCTGCAACATTTGCCCGTTTTTATGGTGAAAAATAACCTTATATTACTACAAAACTAGTGTGTG